GGGTGTTCCGAGGCTCCTGCGAATGAGCATTTGTGATTTATTTTCTGGGAGCCCAGGGCAGGAGCTGGGGAGGAATGGAATTGTCTTCGTGGGTGGGGGTGGGGTCTTGAAGGCGGCTAAAGGGCTGAGGAAGATCCCAAACCCAAGAAGGAAGAGGGGGCTGGCACTAAGACAGGGAGGTAGGTGCTATTCCAGAAAGGTCCCCTCCGCCTGCTGCCACCTTCCTAACAGGGGTGGAGTCCCTGGGCCAGACAAAGACAAAGCCATTCATTTGCTTGTAAAAGAAAGCGCAGGGTCCTTGCTTGGTGTGTGGCAGGGGGTGCTGTTTCAGTGGGGGACTTGCCCAGAGCCCAGTCAGGTGGACAGTGCCTCTCATCGGAGCACCAACAGGGCAGGTGGCTCCTGGCAGGGGTGCTGCAGATGGAGCCCCTCCTCTCCAGGGCCCCCAGGGAGGCAGACTTGAGCTGCATCCTGTTGTGCCCACATCCTGAGCTCTTCCCCACTCTTGGGGACCCCTCTTCACTCCCCTGTTTCAGAAGAGGTTAAAGGTCTCTCCAGCTCTCTGTTAACAAAGTCTACTCCCCTCCTCGCCCCGCCCCCATCGTGACCTACACAGCAGCCATATGCTGGCTGGGGGTAGCTGCTCTGTGAATGGAGCTGTACCTGAGGGAGGAGGAAGAGGATGGTTGTGAAGTAACACCTGCCCTGCCCTGGGGCCTTCATTCGTCATTCATATTCATTCATTCATTCATCATTGCTGAACACCTGTGGTATGCTAGGTACATTGGGGGCCCACCAATTGCCATCGAGTCAATTCCAAGTCAAAGTGACCCACAGAACAGTGTACAACTGCCCCATAGAGTTTCCAAGGCTGTAGTCTTTATGGAAGCAGACTGCCAGGTCTTTCTATAAGACATGACTCCTGCCCCCAGGAGGGGTGGGAACTAGCAGAAAACCAGTTCCTGCTGTGTGCCAGGTAGTTCACACCCATGATTTAGTGTAATCTTCACAGCAACTCTGCAAAGTTGGTACTGCCCTCACTTTTCTGAGGAGAAAACTGAGGCTCACACGGGTCACTCAGCCAGAGCATGTCAGGGCTGGAATTCAAGCCCAGGTCAGCTGCCCATCAGAGGTTGGCATGGTGGGGCCAGGGAGCTGTAGGGGCAGAGGATGGAGCTACAGAAGCCACCTCCATTTGTCATATGCCCCAGAGGTCTTTGTGTACCTGTCGGGCACCCTCACCAGACTGAGGCCCTCAAGGGCAAGGACCTTGTCTGGGGTACAAAATTGTCCTTGGATGAGTAAGTAAATGATTGAATGACTGACTGACTGACTGAATGAATGAATGCAAAGAGTACCAAGTACTCACAGGGGGCTGAGGTGACACAGCAAAGGGGCATCACTATTTCGCCAGGAAGCAGAGGCTTTCCTGAGGGAGTAGCACTTGGGCTGAATGCTGAAGAAGGAGAAGGAGTTAGCTGGGGGGTGGAGTGGAGAAGGGTCTCCCAGCAAAAGTTACAGCATGTGCAAAGGCCCCGTGCAGCGAGCACAGCACATTTGCAGCTACTTGTGGCTGACAAATTGCTGGTTGTTAGCATGTGACTGGCATGTAATTGGCATGTGATTGGGAGGGAGCTGACTCGCCAGCAGGTGCTTTGTACAGTGCACACCATTAAAAAAACAAAACAAAACCCGTTGCATCGATTCCAACTCATAGCAACCCTATAGGACAGAGTAGAACTGCCTCATGGGG